AATTTTTCATGAGTTAAGGAAATCGGGAAAACAATTTCATTCCGTCAAAGCTTGGAATCATATAACTTTTTTTCTGTGACTGCAATACCAACATAATAGGAAATCAAGGTATTTAAAACTATGTCACTATTTACACATAACCCAGGGAGTGCACAAGACTCTTAGGGCCAATTCATGAGGAAACCAGTACAGGGAAATAGCATCAGTTATCAGTTTCATTTCTTTTCTCACAACTGAAGTAATCAATAACTCCTTCATTGCCACAGGAGAAAGTGTTCCTACTGTCAGCACTGATTTTCAGCTCAGCACCTTAGCCAGGACAGCAGTCTCATCAGCCTTAATGTCCATGGACTCGCTGTCTGAACCCAAAGTCTTCCATAGTACCACCTGCCTTATCCCCGTAATTTACAAAAAAATTGGCAAATATAAGTCAAACCATGAAATTTACTGACTTCTTTCAAGTCATTTCAGTGTTTGGGTTTTGCAAGAGCACGTTTTCAGCTGTAAAACTAGACCTGTGTTTATCCATAACTTGGAAGCTTAGCAGTAAAGTAGTGCTAGCAAATTCGGTACCGATAAGCGCATTTTTCATTCCCAAATACGAAATCATGCTATTCTTGTGGCTGAATCTCCGCCCAAAAAAATGACAGCCAGATGATTAGTGAAGCAACCAAGAACAGCAAATTTTGCCAACTTCTGTGACATCTATGGTACAGCACAAAGCTAAAATTTATGTTCTTCATGAAGGACCATAAACATCATAAGGCAACGAAGGAGTTAACAACACTGTCAAGCCAAAAAGAACAAACAAACAAAATTGAAGCTAAGTAGATGCAGAAGACACACATGATCTGAATGTTCGAAATGCTGTCAAACCTGTTTCTAATCTCATAATACATAACCTTCTAAGCACAAACATTGCTTTTACGACTTAAAAAAACATTTCCTGTTGTTTAGACCTGCTTCAACAAATACTATTGAAAATCTCAAAGCGTGAGAGAGGAGGCCTCACATGAAATGTAAAACCCCCAGAGTATCGTTCTCGGCAGCACACCAACAATCCACATCATGGTCACTGGGATACAACAGGACGCATACAAGAGAAAATTTCAACCTGTATTTACAAAGCAAGACAGAGGAAAATTTTACACAGTATAACAGATGATTTCATATTGTTTAATCGAGAGCATATATATATATGTGATCTCTTCCCCCCTCCCCATCCCACCCTAAAAAAAAAGGAAAAATAAATAATCTCATCTACGCTATAAAAACCCTCAGACAAACAATGAGCCAGTGCCACAGCGCTGTGTACAAAATGTGTACAGCCAACATTTAGTGTGTTGCCGTGACAACAACTGTCTGAACAGATGGCAAAGACAACACAGGTAGGACGTCAGGGAACAAACAAGGCATATATGCATAGCTGGAAAAGTCTTCAGGGATAGCAATGAGAGAGCAAGCTATGACCACAGGCTGTCAATATAATCACTCTACAGCACTGTGACATATACAACAAGCACCACTCTTATCAAAACAATTTCTCCAATTTTGTGTTTCCACAGGGTAAATTATAACTGTTCTAAAAAAATAATGTTTTTTCACTATTGCTATCAAAGCGCCTCCCAAAGCCCAACCCTAGGTCCACGTCCCCGGAAGTGGAAACTGGACAAAGTAGGGGATTGCTGGGTTCAACGAAGTACAGGGTGGCTTTATGCCACTGAGGCGTCACGCTAACCGTGAAGGAGAACCCGGATCACCCCGAAAAGTTGCAGGCTAACTGGGTCCTGGTGAAACTGTGACAGGCCTAGCAAGTCTGCAGTGGATTATTTATTGCTACAGAAACTAATAGAAGAAAGAAACGGACTGACATAGACGGAAAATTACAGCCTGTGAAATGCGATGATTAAGAAAAGCAGTGACAAAGACCAGGCAAGACAAAATTAGAAACTCAGTAGTCAGAGAAATAGTGGGCACAAATGATGTCATGCATCACATCCAACACCAAAGAATCAAATGGTTTGGACATCTCATGCGATTACCAAAACACCATCTAGCACAACGTGCCTACATAAAAAAATTCAATGGCAACAAGGCTAGAGGGCGACCAAGAAAGACCTGGATAGATGGAGTCAGGGAAACCCTAACAACTCATGGCATCCCCCTGACCCAAACTCTCAGGCGAGTGGCAGAAAACTTCTCTTTCTTCCCACAACACCCAAAAGGGGCAAGCATCATGATTTGGGGAGCTATCGCCCTTAATGAAAGTATTGGACCAGTGTTCTTCCAGAGAGTGGGTCTTGGACAAGGAAATGGAGTCACAGCTCAGAGCTACATCACTCAAGTTCTTCAGCCTCATGTGGTGCCCTTTTTCCAGAAACACCTATACATTCTTTTTTCCTGCAAGACAATGCAAGACCTCATACGGTCAGTGTACCACAGCAAATTCCTGGGGTAGAACAACAGAATCTTTTGCCTCATCCGTCTCATTCACCTGTCTTAAACCCCTTTGAGCACATATGGGTGACTGTCCAGAGGCAGCTTAACCAGATGCAACCAAGACCACAAGCAGCTCCCCAACTCACTGCAACCATTGGCAAGGTGTGGGTACATATCCTCGATCGACAAATAAAGGCTCTCGTGAACTCACTAGGTTGAAGACGCAGGGTAGTTATTGCAGCCAATGGAGGTCACACACGGTACTGACTTTCCTGACAAAAGGTCAAGGTCACAGAAATAATATGTGCTACGACACAGTGGAATCAGACGCTCGTCATCAATTTTTGTACATGTGGAGTTATCAGGATCATCTTAAAGCTTGTTCATTAATCTCGGTTTTTTTTGGTTTAAATACCAATTTATCTTGGGTAGAAGTGAAGATATTTGTTATTGAAAGAGAAAAGTTCACTTGGTTTCAGCGGTAAAAATAGCAAGAAAATGGCCGCCAAAGTTTGTTAACTTCAATAGCTAACGAGTCCTTGAAAACTGATAAATTACATATTTTGAGCTTTTAATCAACATTTTTCAATAATATATAATTCACATGGAAATGTGTTTTTCTTTGGACATAAAAGGGTTGAACAAAAACCCAAAAGTTAGACTAGAATTGCGAAACTGGTGGGAAAATGCCCGTTTCTCAAATTTTGCTCTTTTGACGAGCACCTGATTTCACCACGATGCCTCACATTTATAGTGAAGCTAAACCCACGCTAAAACTAAAACACCCACCTACTGATACCCTTGTGGCGATGCAAATTGCACAAATTAAAATTTAATTTACACATGACAAACCCCTTTTGAGTTTAGTGTGTATTGTTAATACTTTAGTTATTCACACTTCTTTGCCTCCGAGAATATATTTCAGTGTTCTGGTGCAATTCATTGTTCTCCACGAGGCAACTAGTCTTACTGCTCCGCAGTTTCTGAACAACAATACAGCATGTGCTAGCCTACATCTCATAACAATTCCAGAACCAATCAGATCAGTCCTAATACATACATCATACCTATCAGCCCTGGCATGTGAGAAAAACATTGGAAGACAAGTGTCTGTGACCAGCCCCCCATGTAAAAAATACAGACTGCCTGGGTTGTAAACTTCCTTTCATGCCTTCAGTCGGAACCTACGCTATCTCACTGAATACCAGTTTCAACAATATGAAGTAATTCAGACAATACTTTACCACTACCTGGCTATGAGCCTTGTCTATACAATTCTATCCCT